CGTGCGCGTGCGCGTGCGCGTGCGCGTGCGCGTGCGCGTGCGCGTGCGCGTGCGCGTGGGCGTGTGGGTGTGGGTGTGTGTGTGTGTGTGTGGCTGTGTGTGTGTGTGTCTGTGTGTGTGTGTGTTTGTCTTCTGTCTGTCTGTTTGTCCGTCCGTCCGTCTGTCTGTCTGTCTGTCTGTCTGACTGACTTGGGGTGTCTGCAGGGCCTTTGTGGCCATGCTACACCTTCTTGAGTCTTGTGACTATCTTGAGCCACCAGACCGTCTTGGATGCATCTTGGCACTGTCTTGGGGCATGCTGAGACTGTGTTGGACATGTCCTGAGCATTTCTTACTTTGTCTCTAAATGGGAATCCTCAAAGTGTGCAACGGTACTTTGGCTATTGTACGGACTTCGGCTTGTTTGCTCCGAGTTGTCTGCGCGGACAGGTGCGTCACGCGCATGCAAACAGCATTCGCGCTCTTGTTGCTCTGTTTCTTGAATGCGTGCGGGGATTAGGAACACATCAGTTCTTCTCAACTGCCCTTGTCAAAGTATAGGTTCTGTCTGACTCTGCATGTTTCTGTCTCACAGGCCTAGCTCGTGTGGAGCAAAGCCTTTTAGTAAGAGTCGTTGTGAACCCGGAAATCATTTCGTGCAGCTTTCAAATAGTGTGTCCACACTGGGTCGCCCAAATCATGCCTTGTGCACTCCAGCCTTGGTCTCTGGATCGAAAGCTACGCGCTGAAGCTGGAAGAAGAGTAGCTTTGGAAGCTTACGTATCCAAACCCGCGTCTTGCCATCGGCCTCAGACAACGTTAAACTGCTTGAAAGCCCGAAGCAACGCTAATCTTATTTGTCCCGACCTTGCCTTTGTTCCGGCAGGTGTAGTGTAATCAACATCCTGCTGGTTTGCAGCTGCCCATGCATCATAGAGGTTTTTGTGGTTCACATCCAAGAAGATCTGCAAGAAGTCGCTTTTTTCTTCGCTGACAACTAAATCCTTGTCCTTCTTCTCCGAACACTCTGGACTTGCCGCATCGCCCTTTGAGCCGTCTTGGCTTTCCCTATAGGAAAATATTTGAACTTGCTCTCCAAACAGCAGGCTATGCAGAAGATTTCCAGGCTCCTGTGCAAAAGTGTTAAGTATCCCATCGAGTCTAAGTGTCCCTTGCTTGTGAATGCCTGAGTGCAAAAGCAAGAGCGCAAGGTCCTCGTCTTTCTGGGCGTCAACTCCACCCTTTTTGCAGAAGCCCTCCTGACAGTGCATCTTGCTTTTCTTTGCCCCTTGCCTAGATCAGAAGCTTGCAAAGTCTGCACATGTTCGCAGCTGAGTCCTCCAGCTGATCTACGAACTTCAGCATGAACTCACTGACGTCCTGCGTGCAGCTTGGGACATGTCTTCCACAAGGCTTTAGAAGGCCTCCTGGCTGCCCACTGACACTTTGTGCCCATGCTGATCGACAAGCTCTGCAATGAGCTGGGCGGGGCTCACGCAGCTGCGATCAGAAAGCAAACCTCGGATCAGAGGTGCTCCAAATCCGAAAGGGCAATCGGGAAACAACGCATCTCGATGCACAGTCAGATAAAGCACAGAAAGGTGGGATGCTGCGGCAGCTCCAAACACCTGGCTTTCATCCCAGCTGCAATACGCAAAAAGCCTTCGCAACTCCAGCACCAGCTGCAGGGAATGCTGGCGACGGCGCCGAGCTGCCAGACCCTCAACAGAAGGAGATTCACCTGACCAGTTTGAGCCTAATTTGTATTCTGTCCAACTCACCATGCACACAAAAAGCATGATGCGCAATGTCCTGCCTTCAGGCTGATCGGCTCCATCAGGAGGGTGCTCAAAGCGGAGGATTTGCGTTCGAAAGGCCTCTGCGTGAAAAAGTGTCTGGAGCAGGGAGTTGACGTAGCCTCAGGTACATCATGAATTTCAACCAGGACAAAGCAGAATTCAAAGTGTGGGAAGAAGCCAAGGGAGGGACATGTGTTGCCAACGTTCAGCAAACCACATGGTAGCCCGGGTTGCCGGGGCATCTGTGGTGTTGGCACATTGTCCTGCACCACGGAGCAGTGTCTGTGCGCGTGGATGCATGTGAGCCTTGCCTCCAGAGAATCCAGGCTGCCTTGATCCAAGCCCGGAGGTCTCGTCTCTGGCTTGACATAGCCGGACGGTTTGGGAAGTTCGGGCCAGTCTGAAGGCGTGCCACCCACAAACTTGTTTTTCTCCGATGGGCTGTTCGCGTCAAAGCCGCCGATTGAATTGTCCTTTTCCAAGGGCTTGGACTCCTCAGGCAAAGTCCCAGTCAAGAGCAGCTCCAGCGCTTGCTCGACGTGTCCAGCACTCTCTCGCAAGGCTACTTCAGCATCCGCCGCAGCGAATCCCATGTCCACCAGCTGCTGGACATCCGCCATGTCTGACACAAGGACATCTTGGAGTTCGAGCACTCAACTGAGGGACTTGAGACAGTATGTTCAGGACAATAGAACGCACCATCTATTGAGGATAAAGTGCTCTGCTCAACAACCATGCGCAGCTGCTGAATCATCATTTTGGGCAAAGGGTGTGTCTGGTTGGTAAACACGCACGTCTGGTGCTTCGGCTTTACAACCAAAGCAGGCATGCACAGGGCAATAGAAAGACCGTGGATATCAACCAACAAGTCCGTCGTGGACATGCCAAAACCCTGCGCGCCCGTCACAGACCGGTGCAGCCTCACTTCACGATACTGCACTCCTGCAGGCTGCGGCCGAAGGTGGTGAAGTCAGTGCGAGGCCCCGGGTGCAACGTGCCATCGTCACGAAAGATCTGCGCGGTCTTGCCCCCCACGTGGCTCACCGAGAAGTGCCCACCATCCACGTCCCCCACGCGAAATGGCCCGAGCTGCAGGAACCGGTCCCCGAAGCTGACACCCACCGGCGGACCAGAAGGCCTGCCCCAAGCGCCGAAGTCGGTGCGGGGCCCTGGGTGCAGCGTGCCGTGCTTGTGGAAGATCTGGGCGGTCTTTCCGCCGGAGTGAGAGATGGACAGGTGGTTGTCGTCGATGGCCGCCAGTCGCCAGTGGCCAAACTGGATGAAGCGGTCCCCAAAGGCGATCTTCGCATCCCCCGAGGTCTCCGCACCACTCCTGCCCCAGGACCCAAAGTCCGTGCGAGGCCCTGGGTGCACAGTGCCGGCCGAATGGTAGATCTGCGCAGTCTGCCCACTCTGAGATGACACGCTGAAGTGGGTCCCGTCAATGTCTGCGAGGCGCCACTTGCCCAGCTGCAGGAAGCGATCCCCTGCAACTAGACCAGTGCAAAGCCCAAAGACATCCTCTATCATGCCGCAGTGCCATTGGGGATAACGATCCATCAAAACGCGGCTCCAGTCCGTGCGGGGCCCAGGGTGGTCTGTGCCGTCAGAGCGGTAGATCTGGGCAGTCATGCCGGTTTGCCACTGAGTCAACTGCATGTGGTGGCCGTCGGAGTCCCCGAGGCGCCATCTCCCGAGCTGCAGAAACTTCGGGCCAAAGGTCACACCCCGTGCTGGGCCAGAGGACCGCGTCCAGAGGCCAAAGTCCGTGCGCGGGCCCGGGTGCATGGTGCCGTCAGATTGGAAAATCTGCGAGGTCCAGCCGCTGCTGTGCGAGATGGAGAAGTACTGTCCATCCACATCGCCAATGCGGAAGTTCCCAAGCTCAATAAAGCCGGGCCCGAAGGTGATGCCGTAAGGGAAGCCATTCGGTCGGTGCCAGGCGCCGTAGTCCGTGCGGGGGCCCCCATGCCGCGTGCCGTCGGAGCGGAAGACCATCGAGGTGTAGCCCCCCCTGTGCGAGAAGGACAGGTGCGTATCGTCGATGGCCGCCAAGCGCCAATCCCCGAACTGTACAAAGCGGTCACCGAAGTTCCCGTAGTCTCCGAAGACCGTGCAAGCGCCGAAGGCCGCTTCGTCGATGGTCTTACAAGTCCAGGCGTTGGGCAGGCGGCTGTGCAGCGAGAAGTCGTGGCGTGGGCCCGGGTGCAGGGTGCCATCGGATCGGTAGATCTGAATGCAGTACCCGTCCACATGTGTCACACTGAGATGCACACCGTCGTGATCGCCCAATCGGAAGGGCCCGATTTGGACGAAGCGATCTCCGAAGGTGATGCCTTCCGACTGGGACACTGGGCGGTCCCAGGTGTGGTAGTCCTGGCGTGGGCCCGGGTGCAAGGTGCCATCAGAGCGGAAGATTTGCTCCGTCCAGCCGCTCTTGTGCGAGATGGAGAAGTGGGCACCGTCGTACGAGCCGAGCCGGAAGCTGCCGATCTCAATGAACTGGAACCCGAAGGCCACCCCCGACGGGGGCCCGATTGGCCTGCCCCAGGCGTTGAAGTCGGTCCGTGGCCCCGGGTGCACCGTGCCATCGTTCCGGAAGATCTGCTCCGTTTGGCCGTGCCGGTGGCTGATGGACAGGTGGTTGTCGTCGATGGCAGCGATGCGGAAGTCACCCAGCTGGATGAAGCGATCGCCCATGGGCAAATCATAGCAGGTGGGTGCTGAGCCCGTGTTCTCCACCCTCTCAACGATCTGCTCGGGTGGGATCTTCTGCACTGTGGGGTTGGGCATACGCCCTGCACCCTTGCAGCCCACTTCGGTGGCGCAGGAGGAAGTGGCAAAGTTGGGGGTGGTCACTGCCTCAATGCAGAAGAGCTTTGTTGGAGCCAGTAGTTCCATGGAAGGAGTGGAGAAGTCCAGGTTTAGGTCAGGGATCAACCCCGAAAAGAAGCTCGCCGCTGCCATCGCCCCTTCCATGACCAGGTCTGCAGCGTTGCTCACCCCGGGGATGCAGCCAAGAGGTCCTAGCGCCACCTGCACCATGGCAGCGGCTCCGGCCAAAATGGCATCCCGCATCGCATCCTGGATCCACCTCGTGCCAAGGGCGAACGTGATAGGCTCCGGCAAAGCAAAGCCCTGCACGTCCGTGTCCGCGTAGATATTGAGCGCCGCAGCCCCACACATGGCGATGTGGGTCGCCCCGGTGCGCGACACATTTGACCCCGCTGTAGTGAAGGTCGAGGAGTTGGTCTCCATGAGGCCGATGGTTCCGCTGCCGGTGGCGGCAAAGGCAGCGGTGGTCTCTCCTCGAAACTCCGCATTGAGCATGGGATTCACGGTGATGGGCACGCCGGGCATCGGCCACACCACCAACTGCGGGCCGAGCCCCATGCGCATAAAGCCACCAATGGCCGCCGCCAACGAGAACCCCTCCTTGTGCACAATGCGGGGGCTCACAAAGTCTGCCGATGCATCCCCGCTGGGGTTCAGCGTGATGGACCCGCTGATCTCGAAGTCTGCGCTGGCACTCATGTCCAAAGCTCCTGTCAAGATGCCGGCCACCTCCACCTCCGCCACCATCTGAATCATCATGGCGATGCAGAAAGGGATTGCACACAACACCAGTGTCTTGGGAATCTTTGGGAAGCGCCGCTCAGCCACAAAGGAACAGGAGCCCTCGCCCTTGACCAAGACCTCAATGGAGGATCGCACCATCCCCGAGATCTCGATCATCGTGTTCCCGCTCAGGTCAGCCTCAATGGGGAAATAGGAAACGAAACGATTTGCAGAATCGGAAAGACCTACATCGGAGTTGCAGTAAACTCGTTTGGGCGCAAGCCCCACCTGCGGGGGAAAATCTCAAGAGTTAGCAACCGTTGCAAGCACATGGCCTACAATTCTGGCTTTGGGAAGAATCAAATCTGGATCAAAACTGACTCTGGAACTAACATCTGTCTAAAACTTAATGTTTTCCTGGCGCTTGAAAAGAACCTTTTGGGCTGCAACTATCTTCAGGAGACCGTTGTATCGAGGTCGCCCTGCTTCAGCAGTACTGCTTAGACGTAAATGCTAGTCAGCTGCCGGCTTAGAACGATGGCTGACTGCTAGCATCACAGGAGTTGAATTCAAATTAATTTCTTCTAGGCCCTCTTGGCATTGAACAACACAATCTAGATGTAGCTTGTTTGGGCGGCCTGATTCTATCCTTGGGAGTTGGCACGAATAAGGTGATCTGGATTTGTTGTGTCGGAAGGCAAAAACAAACGCTTTCCGTACGGTGGGATTCAGGTCGGTGTTTTGGATGTGTTTAGATTGGGTTTCATTCGTTGCTTAAAGGTCGCCCTCCTTCTTCAGTACAACCGTTTGTTGCGAATGGCAGCTAGCCATCGCGATAATTATTGGACTTCCACAGCAAGCATCCCACATTGTTCTTCTAGGGCGCCCAAGACACTTTCCGGCAAAATTTGTTCGCTGGCTGAAGCTGGTTGTATTGCGTCAGGCACAAAGAAGCTCTGCTTTTCGCCTGACTCCGGCAGCCATTCCAACACGACAAATACAAACCCTGTTCATCTTCATGCACGGGTTGATCACGCGGGCAGCGAGTAGCCTCAACCTTTGCCCACGCGCTCGCACGAAATCGAGCCCCGGCAACGTCTGGAATCCCCGAGGCGTATTCGCCCAACACGCTGGCCAGGGCCTCCCCACGATGGCTAACGTGGAAACTGCATCTCTGGAGTTAGCAAATTACATTGAAATCAAAGCTGGGATTCATAGCTGAATATTGAAGAATTGAGTTTAACTCCTGACGATACTCCAAAGAAAGACCATTATTCAATAAACCAACCAACTCCAGAGTGAAATCTGATGAAGATCATGTTTTTCAAGCACGCAGGACTAACTCTGGTTTTAATCTTAAGATGTCGACGATCCTTTCACTATCCTTTCACTTGCCTCAATGGTCACCACGGGCGCAAACTGCACGACCCCATCGACGGCCAATTCCAGAGAGCTCTCGCAGGATCCAGCAGGCGCCTTAGACAACAAAGACCCCAGCGCCTTCTTCGGCTTCAGCTCACCGGTCCTGGCACTCTGGCTGAAAATGTTCCCCGGCAGCTTCACCCGTCCGCTGCTGCCCTTATCCGCCGAGCCAAAGGCTGAAGCTGATGCAGACAAGCCAAACCCGTTGGTGAAGTGCTTGGCGAAGCACTTCACGCGGATCGAGTTGCTGGTGAAGGTGATGTCGCTACCAGCGTTGCAGTCGCAGGCGTTGTCCAAGAAGATTTTGCACATCGAGACATGACTCAGGAAGCAGTTCAGCAGGCTCTTGATCTGGTCCCAGACAGCCGAACCGAAGCCAGCTAGCAGGGGCCCCAGCTTCTGGAACTCGCTGCCAAAAGCAGCGGCCTTGGCCGCGATCTCGGACCCCACGCGGTTGGCAAAGGTCACACCCTGCGACACCGCGAACTGCGCCGTGCTGAGCACATGGCCCGCGAGGTTTGCGTGGAAGGTCCCTACCACCTCCCCCGCGTCCACGACAAAGTCGCCGACGGACACTGCCGCATTGCCCAAGGCTCTGGCGGTGTTCTTCACGGTGGCCGGGAGCTCAGTCACGGCCAGCACGGCGGTGTCGACGATGGAGTTCCCAACCACCTTGGCCGCGTTGCCAATCTCGGAGCCCACCGTCAGGCCGACATCCACCACGCCGTTGCCAATGTCCTCCGCCACGTCCACTACGCCATTTCCCACATCCTCTGCAAAGTCCGCGATGTCGTTGAAGATTTTGGAGGAGACTGCAGAATCCAACTGGGATTGCTTCGAGCTCCTGTTTGCCCGGGTCGCCAGGGCAGCGGAAAAGCTCTTCTGAACCCGAGCCTGGAGCTGTGTCACCGTCGAGATGGTGCTCGCTGAGGAGGCCGTCTGCAGCAAAGTGTGCCCAGAGGACGGCAAAACATGCTCGGCCTCCGTTCGGCAGCTGTCGCTCTTGCAAGCGCCGAGCTTCTCGCCGAGCTTCTCGCCGAGCTTCTCGCCGAACGCAGCAACGAAATAGAATGATAGAAAGAGGAACGTGCACGTTCTTGCCATGCTCAGGCGACAGCCTGAAGCGGTAAAACTTGTAGAAGGTTGCTTGAGCCAAGATCACTTGTGTTGGTGCCGGAAGCATCAAGTCACAAAACCGGAAAAGGCAAGAGTCTTTGGAAAGCGACACCAATTAAAAGAGAATCGGACGCGTTCGTTTTTCACTCTGGCGCTGCCCTTCAGCGTCGACGTCTTCGAGACCTAAGCAGAAGTGAAGAAGTGAAGCACTGATGCTTGCAAGACTTGCTGCACTTGGACGGAAGGCCCATGCTCGCTGGAACCATGACGGCGCCTGAAATAAAATCGAAACAGCCCACTTTTTGGGCTGTCCGGAATGTCCGCCTCTTTTGCCGGCTTGCGCTCCTGCGATGCTTCTGCCTCAACAAGGAACCAGGCATAGTATGCTGAATAGCTGTACACTGCGAACAGCTGCATACACATCTGCACATAGCTGCGCTGGCAATGTATGTCGAATGTGAGAACGCGAAAATCGAAGCCTTTCTCGGCCAGGACCTGTGCAGCAAAATGGAGAAGCCAATGCATGCGCACACGGGCTAAGCTTAGCACGCCTTCATCCATACCAGGTTCGTGCCTTCGAGGGCAAAGATTGCACATCCAAAAGTTGAAAATAGCATTCAAACAACATGTGCTACGACTTGGTGGCTTTGACAGTGAGTGGTGTCATTGATGACATTTCATTAGGCTCTCAAATTGAACTGCTTGGGAGGATCGGCGGGCTTGTGGGTCAACTTGCCAGTGTGCTCTGAAGCAATCTTTGCTTGTTTTGTCTGTGTACATCCACTCATGAGCGATTCCGCCATAGTTGGCTCAAGCCTGGTGAGTAACTCGCATTTCATGCAGTGGTATTTGCTTACACTGGTATTTACACTGTTTCCACTTCAAAACCAAACACTAACTTTGCATCGCCTATTTGGTCTCATTGATTGCCTGGGCATATTCTTGCATCGGAATAGATCCACAGGGCCTCTCGAGGTTCACTGGATTGGGCCCAATTTGGGACCCCATATTTCCAACCTCGGGGGGCCCTAAATAATTGATTCTTGCAATCTTTTTGGCTGAAGCAATTGATCAAAACATTGTTTGGGCATGTTAGCCCCTTTCCTTGCTTACACCAAGAGAAACTTCAGCTAGCTTAAGCTAGCTTTCGTGGTTACACACCTACAAACATACATACAGCGTATACATATGCTACATACGGCACTACAGAACGCTTCATTCGAGCCCTGATGGCACCTGCACAGCTCAGCACTCTTCCGGTGTAGCCAATTGCTTGATCTTGGACCGACTCCATCACACCAGACGGATTGCGAACACCGACATGTTCCTTTGCAAAAGCGTGGCTCTTTCAAGGCTCGGACAACGATTGTCGCTGCCAGAGACTCAGCCGCCTCACAAATCGCTGCTGGGCTGCTGCGGCACAACAGGAAAATATGCATTCGCTGCCACGTGCGAATACAAGTTGAACCTCGCCTCAAAACCTCTCCACACCAATCTTCGTCGAGGCCGAGCTCCTTCTGAGGCTTGCAAAACTCAACTTCGTTCACACACAGACACGCACGAAAAGCTCCTCCATCAAGCGCCTCACATCTTGCGGCATGTCATCCTTACTAAAGACCAAATCGCAACACATCCTAAGTCACAAACATAGGCAAACAGCACCATGATTGAGATTCACACAACTTCTGCATGCTGATGCCGACGTTTGCGGCTCCTGGTGGACGCTGAGGTTTGCTGAGATTGAAAGTTGTTTGAAAACAATGCCATGTCAAAACTCATCCAATGTCCTGCTACCCGGCCACTTTTTCCACGGCGGCTGTCAAGTCGGTAGTTGGCATCACTGCACAGCTGAAGATGCAAAGGCCTCAGGATTCAAGCAACAAGGACACGCATCAGACAAGTTTCGCTGCAGTGCGAGTGAATTGTCAGTGTCTCGCCGGCCACCACGATCCTCCATAAGGCGAAGAACTTGCGAGATTCCTCGCCATATGCACCACTTCCAGATGCTTTGAAAGCAATGACACGCCCCGCGTTCAATCTCTAAAGTCTTCAGCTGTGTTTTGCCAATCTACTGAACTGTCTATGTTAGAAATTTAGAACGAATGATAGACATGAAATAAATGAAACTTCAGCACGAACTCACTGACGTCCTGCGTGCAGCTTGGGACTGGGCAATGTGCTCCACAGCCTTGTAATGAAATGCTCCCTAAATGCTTCAGAACTCCTCCTGGTTGCTCACACAGCTGGGATCAGAAAGCAAACAAAGAGTAATTGGGGACAAAGGACGCAGCGCATCTCGATGCACCGCAAGAGTCAGATAAAGCACAGAAAGGTGGGCAAATGCTGCGGCAATGCTAGCTGCAAACATCTCATTCCTCCAGAGGCTTTCCTTTGCAGAGGCCTTCCGAACGCAAATCCTCCGCTTTGTGCACCCTCCTGATGGAGCCGATCAGCCTGAAGACAGACATTGCGCATCAGTTGCGCATGCTTTTTGCGTGCACGGTGAGTGGGGCAAAATACAACATTAGGCTTAAACTGGTCAGGTTATTCTCCTTCTGTTGAGGGTCTGGCAGCTCAGCGCCGTCGCCAGCATTCCTTGGGATGGAGTTGACGCAGCCTCATGTACATCGTGATTCTCAACCAGGACAAAACAGAATTCAAACTGTCGGAAGAAACCGAGAGAGGGACATGTATTGCCAACCATGGGAGCCCCGGGTTGCCGGGGCATCTGTGGTGTTGGCACATTGTCCTGCACCACGGAGCAGTGTCTGTGCGCGTGGATGCATGTGAGCCTTGCCTCCAGAGAATAGGCTGCCTTGATCCAAGCCCGGAGGTCTCGTCTCTGGCTTGACATAGCCGGACGGTTTGGGAAGTTCGGGCCAGTCTGAAGGCGTGCCACCCACAAACTTGTTTTTCTCCGATGGGCTGTTCGCGTCAAAGCCGCCGATTGAATTGTCCTTTTCCAAGGGCTTGGACTCCTCAGGCAAAGTCCCAGTCAAGAGCAGCTCCAGCGCTTGCTCGACGTGTCCAGCACTCTCTCGCAAGGCTACTTCAGCATCCGCCGCAGCGAATCCCATGTCCACCAGCTGCTGGACATCCGCCATGTCTGACACAAGGACATCTTGGAGTTCGAGCACTCAACTGAGGGACTTGATACAGTATGTTCAGGACAATAGAACGCACCATCTATTGAGGATAAAGTGCTCTGCTCAACAACCATGCGCAGCTGCTGAATCATCATTTTGGGCAAAGGGTGTGTCTGGTTGGTAAACACGCACGTCTGGTGCTTCGGCTTTACAACCAAAGCAGGCATGCACAGGGCAATAGAAAGACCGTGGATATCAACCAACAAGTCCGTCGTGGACATGCCAAAACCCTGCGCGCCCGTCACAGACCGGTGCAGCCTCACTTCACGATACTGCACTCCTGCAGGCTGCGGCCGAAGGTGGTGAAGTCAGTGCGAGGCCCCGGGTGCAACGTGCCATCGTCACGAAAGATCTGCGCGGTCTTGCCCCCCACGTGGCTCACCGAGAAGTGCCCACCATCCACGTCCCCCACGCGAAATGGCCCGAGCTGCAGGAACCGGTCCCCGAAGCTGACACCCACCGGCGGACCAGAAGGCCTGCCCCAAGCGCCGAAGTCGGTGCGGGGCCCTGGGTGCAGCGTGCCGTGCTTGTGGAAGATCTGGGCGGTCTTTCCGCCGGAGTGAGAGATGGACAGGTGGTTGTCGTCGATGGCCGCCAGTCGCCAGTGGCCAAACTGAATGAAGCGGTCCCCAAAGGCGATCTTCGCATCCCCCGAGGTCTCCGCACCACTCCTGCCCCAGGACCCAAAGTCCGTGCGAGGCCCTGGGTGCACAGTGCCGGCCGAATGGTAGATCTGCGCAGTCTGCCCACTCTGAGATGACACGCTGAAGTGGGTCCCGTCAATGTCTGCGAGGCGCCACTTGCCCAGCTGCAGGAAGCGATCCCCTGCAACTAGACCAGTGCAAAGCCCAAAGACATCCTCTATCATGCCGCAGTGCCATTGGGGATAACGATCCATCAAAACGCGGCTCCAGTCCGTGCGGGGCCCAGGGTGGTCTGTGCCGTCAGAGCGGTAGATCTGGGCAGTCATGCCGGTTTGCCACTGAGTCAACTGCATGTGGTGGCCGTCGGAGTCCCCGAGGCGCCATCTCCCGAGCTGCAGAAACTTCGGGCCAAAGGTCACACCCCGTGCTGGGCCAGAGGACCGCGTCCAGAGGCCAAAGTCCGTGCGCGGGCCCGGGTGCATGGTGCCGTCAGATTGGAAAATCTGCGAGGTCCAGCCGCTGCTGTGCGAGATGGAGAAGTACTGTCCATCCACATCGCCAATGCGGAAGTTCCCAAGCTCAATAAAGCCGGGCCCGAAGGTGATGCCGTAAGGGAAGCCATTCGGTCGGTGCCAGGCGCCGTAGTCCGTGCGGGGGCCCCCATGCCGCGTGCCGTCGGAGCGGAAGACCATCGAGGTGTAGCCCCCCCTGTGCGAGAAGGACAGGTGCGTATCGTCGATGGCCGCCAAGCGCCAATCCCCGAACTGTACAAAGCGGTCACCGAAGTTGCCGTAGTCTCCGAAGACCATGCAAGCGCCGAAGGCCGCTTCGTCGATGGTCTTACAAGTCCAGGCGTTGGGCAGGCGGCTGCGCAGCGAGAAGTCGTGGCGTGGGCCCGGGTGCAGGGTGCCATCGGATCGGTAGATCTGAATGCAGTACCCGTCCACATGTGTCACACTGAGATGCACACCGTCGTGATCGCCCAATCGGAAGGGCCCGATTTGGACGAAGCGATCTCCGAAGGTGATGCCTTCCGACTGGGACACTGGGCGGTCCCAGGTGTGGTAGTCCTGGCGTGGGCCCGGGTGCAAGGTGCCATCAGAGCGGAAGATTTGCTCCGTCCAGCCGCTCTTGTGCGAGATGGAGAAGTGGGCACCGTCGTACGAGCCGAGCCGGAAGCTGCCGATCTCAATGAACTGGAACCCGAAGGCCACCCCCGACGGGGGCCCGATTGGCCTGCCCCAGGCGTTGAAGTCGGTCCGTGGCCCCGGGTGCACCGTGCCATCGTTCCGGAAGATCTGCTCCGTTTGGCCGTGCCGGTGGCTGATGGACAGGTGGTTGTCGTCGATGGCAGCGATGCGGAAGTCACCCAGCTGGATGAAGCGATCGCCCATGGGCAAATCATAGCAGGTGGGTGCTGAGCCCGTGTTCTCCACCCTCTCAACGATCTGCTCGGGTGGGATCTTCTGCACTGTGGGGTTGGGCATACGCCCTGCACCCTTGCAGCCCACTTCGGTGGCGCAGGAGGAAGTGGCAAAGTTGGGGGTGGTCACTGCCTCAATGCAGAAGAGCTTTGTTGGAGCCAGTAGTTCCATGGAAGGAGTGGAGAAGTCCAGGTTTAGGTCAGGGATCAACCCCGAAAAGAAGCTCGCCGCTGCCATCGCCCCTTCCATGACCAGGTCTGCAGCGTTGCTCACCCCGGGGATGCAGCCAAGAGGTCCTAGCGCCACCTGCACCATGGCAGCGGCTCCGGCCAAAATGGCATCCCGCATCGCATCCTGGATCCACCTCGTGCCAAGGGCGAACGTGATAGGCTCCGGCAAAGCAAAGCCCTGCACGTCCGTGTCCGCGTAGATATTGAGCGCCGCAGCCCCACACATGGCGATGTGGGTCGCCCCGGTGCGCGACACATTTGACCCCGCTGTAGTGAAGGTCGAGGAGTTGGTCTCCATGAGGCCGATGGTTCCGCTGCCGGTGGCGGCAAAGGCAGCGGTGGTCTCTCCTCGAAACTCCGCATTGAGCATGGGATTCACGGTGATGGGCACGCCGGGCATCGGCCACACCACCAACTGCGGGCCGAGCCCCATGCGCATAAAGCCACCAATGGCCGCCGCCAACGAGAACCCCTCCTTGTGCACAATGCGGGGGCTCACAAAGTCTGCCGATGCATCCCCGCTGGGGTTCAGCGTGATGGACCCGCTGATCTCGAAGTCTGCGCTGGCACTCATGTCCAAAGCTCCTGTCAAGATGCCGGCCACCTCCACTTCCGCCACCATCTGAATCATCATGGCGATGCAGAAAGGGATTGCACACAACACCAGTGTCTTGGGAATCTTTGGGAAGCGCCGCTCAGCCACAAAGGAACAGGAGCCCTCGCCCTTGACCAAGACCTCAATGGAGGATCGCACCATCCCCGAGATCTCGATCATCGTGTTCCCGCTCAGGTCAGCCTCAATGGGGAAATAGGAAACGAAACGATTTGCAGAATCGGAAAGACCTACATCGGAGTTGCAGTAAACTCGTTTGGGTGCAAGCCCCACCTGCGGGGGAAAATCTCAAGAGTTAGCAACCGTTGCACGCACATGGCCTACAATTCTGGCTTTGGGAAGAATCAAATCTGGATCAAAACTGACTCTGGAACTAACATCTGTCTAAAATTTAATGTTTTCCTGGCGCTTGAAAAGAACCTTTTGGGCTGCAACTATCTTCAGGAGACCGTTGTATCGAGGTCGCCCTGCTTCAGCAGTACTGCTTAGACGTAAATGCCAGTCAGCTGCCGGCTTAGAACGATGGCTGACTGCCAACATCACAGGAGTTGAATTCAAATTAATTTCTTCTAGGCACTCTTGGCATTGAACAACACAATCTAGATGTAGCTTGTTTGGGCGGCCTGATTCTATCCTTGGGAGTTGGCACGAATAAGGTGATCTGGATTTGTTGTGTCGGAAGGCAAAAACAAACGCTTTCCGTACGGTGGGATTCAGGTCGGTGTTTTGGATGTGTTTAGATTGGGTTTCATTCGTTGCTTAAAGGTCGCCCTCCTTCTTCAGTACAACCGTTTGTTGCGAATGGCAGCTATCCATCGCGATAATTATTGGACTTCCACAGCAAGCATCCCACATTGTTCTTCTAGGGCGCCCAAGACACTTTCCGGCAAAATTTGTTCGCTGGCTGAAGCTGGTTGTATTGCGTCAGGCACAAAGAAGCTCTGCTTTTCGCCTGACTCCGGCAGCCATTCCAACACGACAAATACAAACCCTGTTCATCTTCATGCACGGGTTGATCACGCGGGCAGCGAGTAGCCTCAACCTTTGCCCACGCGCTCGCACGAAATCGAGCCCCGGCAACGTCTGGAATCCCCGAGGCGTATTCGCCCAACACGCTGGCCAGGGCCTCCCCACGATGGCTAACGTGGAAACTGCATCTCTGGAGTTAGCAAATTACATTGAAATCAAAGCTGGGATTCATAGCTGAATATTGAAGAATTGAGTTTAACTCCTGACGATACTCCAAAGAAAGACCATTATTCAATAAACCAACCAACTCCAGAGTGAAATCTGATGAAGATCATGTTTTTCAAGCACGCAGGACTAACTCTGGTTTTAATCTTAAGATGTCGACCATCCTTTCACTATCCTTTCACTTGCCTCAATGGTCACCACGGGCGCAAACTGCACGACCCCATCGACGGCCAATTCCAGAGAGCTCTCGCAGGATCCAGCAGGCGCCTTAGACAACAAAGACCCCAGCGCCTTCTTCGGCTTCAGCTCACCGGTCCTGGCACTCTGGCTGAAAATGTTCCCCGGCAGCTTCACCCGTCCGCTGCTGCCCTTATCCGCCGAGCCAAAGGCTGAAGCTGATGCAGACAAGCCAAACCCGTTGGTGAAGTGCTTGGCGAAGCACTTCACGCGGATCGAGTTGCTGGTGAAGGTGATGTCGCTACCAGCGCTGCAGTCGCAGGCGTTGTCCAAGAAGATTTTGCACATCGAGACATGACTCAGGAAGCAGTTCAGCAGGCTCTTGATCTGGTCCCAGACAGCCGAACCGAAGCCAGCTAGCAGGGGCCCCAGCTTCTGGAACTCACTGCCAAAAGCAGCGGCCTTGGCCGCGATCTCGGACCCCACGCGGTTGGCAAAGGTCACACCCTGCGACACCGCGAACTGCGCCGTGCTGAGCACATGGCCCGCGAGGTTTGCGTGGAAGGTCCCTACCACCTCCCCCGCGTCCACGACAAAGTCGCCGACGGACACTGCCGCATTGCCCAAGGCGCTGGCAGTGTTCTTCACGGCGGCCGGGAGCTCAGTCACGGCCAGCACGGCGGTGTCGACGATGGAGTTCCCAACCACCTTGGCCGCGTTGCCAATCTCGGAGCCCACCGTCAGGCCGACATCCACCACGCCGTTGCCAATGTCCTCCGCCACGTCCACTACGCCATTTCCCACATCCTCTGCAAAGTCCGCGATGTCGTTGAATATTTTGGAGGAGACTGCAGAATCCAACTGGGATTGCTTCGAGCTCCTGTTTGCCCGGGTCGCCAGGGCAGCGGAAAAGCTCTTCTGAACCTGAGCCTGGAGCTGTGTCACCGTCGAGATGGTGCTCGCTGAGGAGGCCGTCTGCAGCAAAGTGTGCCCAGAGGACGGCAAAACATGCTCGGCCTCCGTTCGGCAGCTGTCGCTCTTGCAAGCGCCGAGCTTCTCGCCGAGCTTCTCGCCGAGCTTCTCGCCGAACGCAGCAACGAAATAGAATGATAGAAAGAGGAACGTGCACGTTCTTGCCATGCTCAGGCGACAGCCTGAAGCGGTAAAACTTGTAGAAGGTTACTTGAGCCAAGATCACTTGTGTTGGTGCCGGAAGCATAAGTCAAAAAACCGAAAAAGGCAAGAGTCTTTGGAAAGCGACACCAAATAAAAGAGAATCGGACGCGTTCTTTTTTCACTCTGGTGCTGCACTTCAGCGTCGACGTCTTCGAGACCTAAGCAGAACTGAAGAAGTGAAGCACTGATGCTTTGCAAGACTTGCTGCGCTTGGACGGAAGGCCCATGCTCGCTGGAACCGGAGCCGCCGCCATGACGGCGCCTGAAATAAAATCGAAACAGCCCACTTTTTGGGCGGTCCGGAATGTCCGCCTCTTCTGCCGGCTTGCGCTCCTGTGATGCTTCCGCCTCAACAAGGAACCAGGCATAGTATGCTCAATAGCTGTACACTGCGAACAGCTGCATACATCTGCACACAGCTGCGCTGGCAAGCCTTTCTCGGCCAGGACCTGTGCAGCAAAATGGAGAAGCTAATGCATGCGTACACGGGCTAAGCTTAGCAGGCCTTCATCCATACCAGGTTCGTGCCTTCAAGGGCTAAGATTGCACATCCAAGAATGGCATTCAAACAAAAATTGCAGAGCACACTGGCAAGTTGCTGCCCACGCTGTTCAATGTGAGAGCTGTGAGAGCCTACGACCCTTTGCAAATCCTGAAGCAAATGAAACGACATGGACGACACCGATTGAGTGGTGGCTGTTATTCCCTTTAAACTTGAAGTGACGTATCAAACCCTTCTGCGAAACCTTCCGCGAAGCTTCCGCGGTGTGAAGGGTACCTTCCACGAGCATGTTTCTATATAGGTGCTTCCGCGGGCCTTCCGCGGGCAGGTTGCTTCTGGAAACTGAAGGTAGCTTCCGCGAGAGAATTTACGCGCACGGTTTGCTAGTAACAGCAGGACGCAAGTCTGCAAAAGTAAATCAACAACGTCCAATCCGCGAGCTTCTGCTGGAAAAACACCTTCCGCAAACCTTCTGCGAACCTTGCGCGGCTGCAGTGCGGATTTTTTGGTCATATGTCAACATCTATACATTGTTGCTTGCACGAGAAACCCCCGCCACTCAATTGCTGTCCAAGCCACCGCGGTGGCCGAGTCATAGCACTTCGGCCCTCTAGTACGTTGGCAATGCCTGGCATGCAGTCACACCGCATGCCAGGCGTGCATCTTGACACATGCTGGCCATGCGGCTGCGGACAGCAGTGGAAGTGTTTCGGACGTTCTGCACCTCAAGTTGGGAAAAACCAAGTTGCCCGGTTGCCTGTGCAACTTGCAGACCAAGCGTCGAAAATACCGGGGGCCAGGACTTCCATCCGCTGCTCCGGCGTTAGCTCCCAAAGCTTTGCCTGACAGTGCACAACTGCTTTGGAGCTTGTGGTTTGCAATGAGGGTTCCTGGCAAGACTTGACCCCTCAGTTGCAAAGGAGCTCAAGTGGAATCCGAAACATGCAAGGTGCCAGTAGGACGGAAAATATGCCAAGTCGAGACTCTTTGCTGGGCCATTGTCTAAAGCTGGTTTAGTCTGCAACCGTGCAAGCTGCGCGCGCGTCCTCATTTGCTGTCAAACTACGCCTTCATCATGCGTGTCTACGCTCAAATATATGTACACTTGCAATGCTTGTATGCCTCACCCATGTCGGACCCCACATCAACACCATACCAGAACCAAAGCAATACCTCTACTGCCAAAGCAAAGCATACCCGCATACCCGCAGAACACCAATCACAGGGGGCAGCTTGAAAGCCTGAATTGTAAATTCAGACGTATCTCCCAAAGCGAGCAACGGGGTTCATTACCAAAAGTGGCGATCGGCAAGCTCACTGGCTGCTTAGATTAGGTTGCTTGATGGTCTATATTAATTGGCGAGGAATCAAATAGTTTATCAGTGAAGTAGTTGTCTTATCCTCTAACTGCATGGGCAGCTCGTTCTAGCTATACAGTTAGCTAGTCATCCAGTCTGTGTTGGCTGCTTATATGTTTAGCTGTTAGATGGTTGGCCCTCTAGTTTATTCGTTCGTAAGGCAGCTAATTTGCCAATGATCCAAAAAGCAAACCTACTATGCCGCTAGTCCTGTGGCTAGCTGGCCAGTTAGCCAGCCAGTTCGCTAGACAGCAAAGATTGCTATGTTGGCTATCAAAATCAAATGTGTTTGTTGTCTGGCTGCTTGGCTAGCTGCCCTGCCCAGTCAGCTCAATGGTTTGTCAGCGGCCTAGATATGTCAGCGAGGTTGTACGCTTGTTTGCTAGTTCACTAGGTAGCTAGTCAACCAGGTAGCTGGCTAGTCAGCTGCTTGCAACTAGAAGGCTAAGTGGCTGTGGGAACACAGCTATAGCAGCAAGCGTTTGATCTCCGAGCCCTCGAAAGTCTGCAAAAGGCTGATTTAGGTGACCTGCACGTAGTACCGTTGAGGCTATACTTAAAGCCGCTGTGGCAAGAACTAGCATGCAAGAATGCAGATATGTACGTACATGGGTACACACACAAACCACGACATACATGCCAGAGCGTACAACGGGACAAAGCAGAACACAAAAAACGTGGCATAATAATAATCCAAAAGTGCTGAACTCGAGTGCAAACGAAAAGTTGTGTTTCGCGTTAAGCTACATTACGTTCATGTCCAACGCAATACCTTACATTACGCTACAGCGCCCTACTGTACCTGACAATGTGCTACAGTTCCTTTTTGCGCACACCAAGGATTTAAAGCTTACACTATACACACTAAACGACGCAACATTACGACAAACTAGATCAAAGTAGCTGAGATTGCAGACATTGCATTCCATTCTCACACAACAAACAAGCACACCAGCATATAATCGCACACGAAACAAAACAATGGTTTGCTTACATCTCGTCACCTGAAGTACCGTACAGCCTATGACAACATATGTGTTAAGAACAAGTATCGTCGCTGACTATCAAAAAACAGATTCACATCACATCACATATGTCATACGCATTGCACGACATACCTTGCGTACATGTCACACCTACAAACATACAGAAAGTATATACATGTGGTAGATACGCCACTACGGAACACTTCATTCGAGCCCTGAGCGAACCTCCACAGCTCTGTCCAAGCTATTCAGGTCAACAAAGATTGTCAGCAGCTCTTCCGGTGTAGCCACTTGCTTGATCTTGGCATGGACCGACTGCTGTGCACGCAGCGATTCTGCGAGTTGAGGCAACCACACGGCTCATCACCACACCAGACGGATTTCGAACACCGCGCATGTTCCTTTGCCGGACAGCCCGTTTGCAAAAACGTGGCTCTTTCAAGGCTCGCACCCAAGCTCTCGGACAACGGCCTGTCGCTGCCAGAGACTCAGCCGCCTCGCAAATCGCTGCTGAGCTGCTGCGGCACAACCGCTGCGAGCGTTGTGCATGCTGGAGAGCTCGTTGCTTGCTGACGGCTGTTTTGTGATTTGTCTGCAGGTCTCACCTCGAATGCAAACAGGCAAAAATGCATTCGCTGCCACCCTCACGGAACAGCCTTCACGAGACAGTGGATGAGCGAGCTGCTAAGGAAGCGCGAATGCAAGTTGCGCAAGCAACGTCATAAGAGCATGAGTCTGCCGCGCCTTAAAACCTCTCCACACCAATCTTCTAGGCCGAGCTCCTTCTGAGGCTTCCAAAGCTCAACTCCATTCACACACAGACACGCACGAAAAGCTCCTCCATCAAACGCCTGACATCTTGCGGCATATCATCCTTACTAAAGACCAAATTACAACATCCAAAGTCACAAACATTGGCAAAAAGCATCAGTATTGAGATTCACACAACTTCTGCATGCCGACGCCGGCGTTTGCGGCTCCTGACAGACGCTGAGGTTTGCTGAGATTGAATTGAAGGTTGATTGAGATCAACGCCATGTCAAAACTCGTCCGATGTCCTGCTACGGCGACTTTTTCCACCATTCTTGTGGCGGATTTCAAGTCGGTAGTTGGCATCACTGCGCGGGTGAAGATGCAAAGGCCTCACAATTCAGGCAACGAGGACGTGCATCAGACAAACCTTCAGTGCAAGTGAACTGTCAGTGTCTGGCCGGCCACCACGATCCCCCATAGTGCGAAGAACTTCCGAGATTCCTCGGGGTATGCACCACTCCCACACACTTTGAAATCATGGGAAAGTGACATGCCCCACAAAGCCTCCAGCTGTGTTTTGCCAACCTACTTGTGATCAAACTTGCCTGACAACGTGATGTGCTCTAGCCCATGTTTCAAATTAGAACGAAGGATATGATGTTAATATATCAAACTTGTCTGTATGAGTCCAGCATGGTGCCTGGGCTTCCGGCTGCTCATGGCAACTCCGGACGGGTTTGCCGCCCGCTGGATCTTCAAGCCCGAATCCATCACAGCCTCGTTAGCCAGAAGACAATCATTAAAGCAGAGGCTCTAAAGCCAGCCTCACACTGGTCAGCAGTCAAAGTTGACAATCGATCAACAACTCCCTCTGCAAGGTCATTCACCTGGTGCAATGCCACAAGACAGCCCATCGTTGCACAGCACATTGGTGAAGGTCCTTGACGAACATCTGGACTCTTTCCTCGATGGGTGCAACTTGCTTGACCCTGCTCATCACAACGCCTGGCAGCAGAAGCATTCTGCAGCTGCCACTATGATCTTGGGGCTGGCACCGTTCGGATTGCGAGCACGTTCCATGTTCAAGGGAGGATGCAGCACAGAGTGTCCTTAGATTTTTCACAAACTCTCGCGACTCGCGAGGCACTGCACTGGACACGAGGCTGCTGCTTTGAGACGGAGACAGCATCATCAATGCCTCGGAGCTGAAAGGCATCCACAAGAAAGCAACCCGCTGACAAGCTGACCAGCCTCCCCAACCCACTCGTCCAATGCGTGGGTAGTGACAAACTCTTGAATGTCTTCCTCGGCGACCCCCTCCTCGGCGACTGAGGACGCAACCCTTATTCGGAAGCAGTCCGCCTCCCAAAGTGGGCACTGAGAAGGCAGCAACCGGGCTTTTGCTCCTTTGAGAAGAGTGCGGACCTTGGTTTATGTCAGTTCACCTTCGAAAATTGACAAGCAGACTCAGCAGTGAAACTGAAATGTCCAAATCGCGTCCCTCTCCCTAAATCGTTTTGTTCTCTCTCTCTCTCCCTCTCTCTCCCTCTCTTTCTCTCTCTGCCTCTCTCTCCCTCTATTTCTCTCTGCCCTTTTCTTGAGCTCAAATGCTCTCAGCACCCATTGTAAGTCCGAAGCTTTCAGAGCATTTGCTCTTGATAAGTCTTCCAGGGCTATCTGACTGGCTCGCAATCTTGCCCCCGGCAATCGCCTTGGCAAGCAATCCACCCATGGCACCCGTATTTGGCAAGTGGACATGCTGTGAGCTCCTGACTGCCAATTTGTCAATCAAGGATGTTGATGTTGCAGCCACTTTGGCAGCTTTGGCACCTCATCTAGTCACTTAATTCACCGTTTTGTCTGGAAGTATGGCCTTCTCCGCGCTTCAAACCAGCGGCGACCTACCACATGTTCCAATTTCAACATGATCCAAGCCGCAGCTACACACATCATGTATCTTCCAGCAGTCCGATTACATGCGTAACTCATTGCTTTACCCGCTTGCCTGTGCCACAGTTGTAGCACTCTCCTCGATTTTGGCCTGCCAATGGGAAAACCTCCAGATTGTTCATAATTTGCGTGTGCATGTGCACATCAGACTCGCTCTGACTCCTGCCTTGTCTTCTTTGTATCTGTGGAGATCTGAAAACACCTTGAAACCACACTGTTCCAAATTGTACGATGAATACGGGCAAGTGAGTGAAAATTGCGAAGGCAGAGTGCTCGACACTTGCGTCGCCAACTCGATCTAGTGCAGCTGAAGCCTGCAGCAAACTGCCCGACAGCCTGACTTGCAACAATTTGCAATCTGCCTGCTTCAGCAGTTCGGCGAGCTTAAGCCATCCTGTAGCGACATCGGAGTCCTGCCAGGCGCACAAAGCAACAGCAACAAACATAGGAAATACGATTGCATTGATTCAAGCATGTACCCATGTTTGGTTTGCAATGCGCTAACCAAGTTTAGTTTGCGATCAATACCGCAGAAGAAGAAAAAAAAGAAACACGTGTACAAATTCACCTCATGCCAAAGCCGTGGGTCCTCATCAATACTATCGGCAGGCATCAAACTAACCATTCAAAAAGGGAATCCGGCAACAGGGCGAGTTTGATGTTTCTTGAAGCTGTGCACATAAGACATGGTTTTGTAGCATGCATACGTGCAATGTGTATGCTATTCATTGTTCGACGCGCCATTGTCTGACAAGCTCGATCATCGCCGGTCGCGTGTCTACTGCTGCGTTGCGCACGAACTGAAACTGCTAACTTGAAAAATATGGTTCCGCTACAAGGCTTGTGGCCAAGAGACTCGTGTTAAAAGCAAACCTGATTCATGCCAAACCGGGGACAAAGAGTTTGTGCAGAGCAAACCAATCAGCTATAATACGAACGGAAAGAATCAGGCGGACCACCGCAACACTCTTGGCAGACCACTGCCAACACTCTTGACAACCAAGTCCCAATTCCAACCTGCAAGAAGATCAACGGGACTTTCATGAAAAACAAAATCAACATCACTGGCTACATTAACTTGATATTCTACTACATTCAACAATTGCACAACACTCGGGCCCTGCGAGGGACTGATATGCGAAAAGGGACGGGTGCCTTGTTACTTACGTGAATAGAAGCATGGCAGCTTTGCAGATCATGCCTCGCTCCTACACCCACTGCCTAAACAAAACCGCAATCCCGAATGAGTCTGACCCAACGCCGCAAACCCCTTTCATCCAAGGGTGGGCCCTCCTGGCAGGTTTGGTTTTCAACAAACATGTTTCCCAATGATACTTCCACGTCACCTTGGCCATGCATCATCAGACTCTTCTGTCTCAACACCACAAACACCACTGCCTCTCAAAGATGAATTGAAACAAAATGCTAAGTCTGCCTGAACACTGCATCCTGGCGTCAAGCATCTGAATGTTCTACTTCAACAAGACTGAGCCTTTGCAATTCAAAAGGACTTGTTTCATGTCTTGAATCCACATTTAGTAAGGACGGGATTGCAGTACAGATTATTTCATCATTCCCTTGTTTAAACAGGTTCCAGTACTAGAGTGATTTTTCAAGTTCGTGTTCGAGTGATTCCTTTGAGTCCGAGACACCGGGCCGGGGGCTTGTTGGATGCTTCGGGTCGCAGAGCCAACCTTGACAACGCCATTTTGTTTGTTGCACTTCAGCCGTGACCAGAGCAGAATCATCAGTTGCATTTAAAACAAGCGTAAATTTGGATTCGCCTACATTTCAATTCAGCATTCACTTAGAATCACTTGCATTTCAAAATACGCATCTGCTTCAACTACATGCCAAGCTCGCACCATGCTGTGACTAAGTCCAAGTGCTAGTCTGACATGCTGGCTTCAAACCCACAGCACTTCGAGCACTACACGTACTGCTTAGCGTGCCTGTGATGTGGGCTTTCAGCAGCGCGTAAGAGTTTCGGCCCCGAACTTGTTTTCGTCTTTGTCAAAATTACTGGGCCAAGAAACCTCCCTGGCAAGCTTTTCCGATGGCCATTGCAGACCAGCAGGGAAAGCGTAAAGCCGGTTGCCCCTTGTCGGTTCCGGAGTCAGGATTCCTCGCACACGCGCGGTGTCCAACACTTGAGAATGCACATCCAATTTTACAGGCTGTTGCAGCGCAAACAAAATGTAAAAACTCAGAAACAGCGCTAGTCTTCGAACCGCCAGGGGGGAAAAAAAGGAAAAAACAGGCAAGCCCGTCAATTGAACTGGACAAGCAAAGCGCAAGTCGAAGGCTTCGTGCTGACCCTTCGAAGCCTTTGAAGCCTTCTGTGCTACCCTTTGGAAGGCTTCTTAGCTTTCATGCTGACCCGAAGCCTTTGAAGCTTTTAAAGCCTGCGAAGACTTTGGAGCCTTCAAAGGAGGCTTGAAGTTTAACGTTGAGGAGGGGCTCAGGGGGGCTTGAGGGTTAAGGGACTTAAAGGTGCAGAAACAACAACAAAAAAACTTAAACTGAAGGCTTCGAAGTCTTTGATGCGTTTGTTTGTTATCTGCATAAGACTTGCTTTCCGGTAATGAGATTATCTCTTCCAAATTTAAGTTGCTGGGCTGGAGTTTGCGGAAAAAAAGAGACAAGAAACAGAAAAGAAAAGGAAAAGATATAGAAATAAAAAATACAAAAAGAGAGAAACACAAATGATAAAAGACCTAGCTTGAACCCAAACATGAACCCCCAAAAGAACAAAGCAAGTCCGAAGCGGCCGCAGTTCTTTTTACCGGGATTGCTGAAAGTAGCACTGCTTCCAGGGCACTGGTGCGCCTGGAACCGGAGGTGCGTTGACCCCCCGTGAAACTAAAACGGGCAAGACAATGCGTGTCCTTGCAAGTGAATGCAGTGCTTGCAGGGCGTGGCACGCGTGCCCGCGCCCAAGGTCCGGAGACTGAATGGTCCGGAGACCAGAGTTGGTCCGGAGACCTGGTCCGGAGACCAAGAGGTCCAGAGACCACCAACGAAAGTGCAGAGCGTCTGCGACCTATACTTGCAGAGCCTTGTATAAGGAAGTGCAGGGTGGGTGGGTGGGTTTCAAATGAAACCGCAGGTTTGGGTCAAGGCTAGGAGCAAAACGGCCACCGCGTAGTTCGATTCACAACAGCCCTAAACACAAGGGAAAAGAAACCCTAAGTGTTAGGGTAGTTTGTCTTTGCTCTGGAAAAAAAGAAGGCAAGGTGCCTCTCTCCGCACACACTCCAAAAACCAGCGGGGAGATGGAGGGGCGACAGGCCCCCATGATGTTTGAGGCATTTATGTTTAAGGCATTTATCCTTGTGCTGAAGGGTCTTGGGCGCCCAGTGCCAGTCGCCCTGGTCATGATACGTGTTTCTTAGATTCATGTTGTGGTTCTGTAAGCTTACGGACTCGCGTTGGTTGGCTGCTGGCAGCAAGCTTGTTCGGTTAAAATCAGTTCTTGCCTTGCGAAAATGGGACAGTTTTTAGAGACTTTTTTAAAGCCTTGATTGAAGGCTTTAAAGGCTTTTAAGCATTCGGCCTCCCCCTTTAAGTCTTCCCTTCCCAGTCCTTTTAAAGGCTTCGAAGCCTTTGATGCCTTCGAAGGCTTTAAAGCCTTTGAAGGTCAAGAGTTGAAGGGTGTTACGGGACTATTCCCTCATTTGCTCGCTGCCTTGGAGTAGTAAGGAAGATAGGCTTTTAGTAACCTAATTATTTTCGTTTTTGGGCCGAAAAAGCCGCCAAAACAGCCAAATTTCCATCCTGCTGAACTTGTCACCAAAGATGTCACCGCTATGTCAGACGTGTTCACAACGGGCGTGGACGCCTCGGGCGCAGTCTCCTGCGCAGCGCTCACAGCCACCGGAGTAGTAAGGAATGTCTGCTTATACTACCCTATTCTTTTTCGGATTTTGGCCCAAAAACGCTCCAAAACAGCCAAATTTCGTCCAAAAAAGGCTTGTCACCAGCGATGTCACCGCTTCGTCACCGCTCCGTTTTTGGAGCAAAAAGCACTGGAAACGGCGAACTCTGAAAAGTGCGTTTTTCGTGTCCGGCGTCAAATGTGCTGCCTGGGCCTCCAAATTCGCTCGTTTTCCGCCGAAAACCGGCTCCAGGTGGCACACCACCGATTTCGCCGGTGTCTAACACGACAGCCCGCCGAGGAGCTCCCACATAACACGTCAGCCTGCCGAGGTTCTCCCACATGACACGGCAGCCCGCTGAACTTGTCACTATCGATGTCACCGGTCTCTAACACGTCAGCCCGCCGAGGTACCGGGGAGGAATCGAACCTCCGAAACGTCGCTCCGGAGACCAACGCCTAAACCATCCATCGGCTCTCGTTACCGTCCCACAACGGCGCTTTTTGGCCCAAAAACTCTCACCGCGATGTCACCGCTTTGTCACCGCTCTCTTTGGGGCCGAAAAGTGCGCAAAAGCGCCCCAGTTCCCGAGAGGACTCGGTTCTTCGCAAGTTTGAGTCAATAATGGAACCGGGTGATTCATCAATGGCTCATGAATGGGCAAGGTTGGTTCATGAATGGGCAAGGTTGGTTCATGAATGGGCAAGGTTGGCTCATGAATGCCCCGCAAATCATAGCCGCTGAGACAAGTGTCCTTCGCCGGTCTCGTCATGTGGCCGAGGTGTCCCAAGCGTTTTTGACCGACGCCATCGGCCAATTCATCAGAGGCCTCATGAGTGAAGGACCTCGCTTCATGCCCAGTCATTCCACACTTCACGTACTGCCTGGGGCTGTTGCGAGTGCGCTGCGAAGGCCCCGAATGTCCCAGTGAGGGTGCGTTGCGAAAGTACAACACCCCATTGTTACGAATTCGTGTAACGACTACTCCTAAGAAAACATGTTTGAAGGACCTGTCACGGGCAGCATCCCGGAGGTCTTGGACAACGGAGAGGTGACTGACGGCACGCACGTCACAGCAGGACAGCTGGCCCTCGCTCTGACTCCCTACGCTCAAGTGACTGACCTGGCGGTGAACACGGCAGCCTCCGGCAACAACCGCTGCCATCCAGTCCTGGACGACCGAGTCACCGCCGAGCTGGCCTCAAAGCTGGATAGCAGCGCGCTGGCGCCGGCAATTGCGCCCCTAGCAACGGCGGCGGCCCTGGCCACCACGGACGGACAGGTGGCCGCGCACGGAAGCAGCATCGCAGCGCTGCAGAGGTCGCTGACCACGGGTCTCTCCAACAAGGCAGACCAGTTGGCCTTCGACGTGCTGGAGGGCGTGGTGGCCACTAAGAGCACCCCGGACGGCGTGGACCTGAAGCTGCCCACAACGGTCCAGTCGGACTCGGGGAAGCGGGAGCGCTCGAGCGCGACCTCGAACTTTGTCCTGATGGCCGCCATCATGGTTCGGCGCGGGCCGACGGAGACGCGGGCCTCACAATCCACGGCGCCAGCCTGAGGAAGTAGAGCGTGAGCTCCACTCTGTCCTTGTCCTCATCGTTCGCAGCCGGGCAGGATCTGGAAGCTGACCTTGGCGAGGAAGCCGCAGCTCGCGGGTCCAAGCGGCCCCGTGGGCGCAGTTCTGTTACAGCGGCCTCGGCGCTAGGAGCGCGGCTCCTCCAGAGGCACCGCCCGGACGGCGCTGAGCCCCAGGCGGCCCCAGATGC